TTGTTACTGTATATATTAATACATGTCTTTTCCTTAACTTATTTGTGTATTTACTGTTAATTAACAGCAGTCTTTATGGATGCAAAATATTAATGAAGGAGCAAATAGGGGTGATTTTTAAGTGTTTTTATACAAGACTGCTTTCTGATAAAAGTTCCCTAGCCCCAAACAGATTTTGAGCACAAAAACACTCAAACAGCAAAGGGTGGACAGGTAAATTCATACATTGTGTTAGTTCCTGGATTGCTTCATTCAGAAACCACAATTTGTGAAATCTCCAATCTAATCATTAGGACATAAACCAGTTTACACAATACAAGTGCCCACATTTTGCTCAAAACTGTCACATTTTTTAATATTGCAAGTTTTCATAAAAAAAATAAATATCGATAAGAGAAAAAAATATACTAACCCACAATCTGTCTGCTGGTCAGGCAGCTTGTGTTTGGTGTCCTTGGCTTCTAAAAAACAAAATTCCTTTACTTGGAGAACAATGTTGCTGACTTGAGGAAGTGAAATTCACTGGGTTCATCTAATATATTAATAAACAATAAATCAGGCTTCACAAACCAGAATGCCTGCCTTAAAAAAAAACACACAAAGTTTAAACCAAATAACCCACATTATGGCTATGCAGGTTGTATAAAACAGCCATTCACACAGCAGTCAACTTTCATAAAAGTTCCTTCGTACAATATTACAAAAATTACATCTACAACTCATGGATCAACCCTAGCCACAGGAAATGTGGTAAAATCCTGTTCTCTGGCTTCAAAAAAATGCTGTTAAGTAGCTTGTCAAGTGCTTACATTTGCACCAAGTAATCAGTTGGCAGATGGTTGTCTCTTGAAAGACCTTGCTCAAACTAAGTTTTCACTGAGTTAAGGATTCTTGGGCATCAATGAAGAAATATCCTTACAGTATAAGCTCTTTTCATGTTAAAAAGATACTAAGAGAGCATTTACCTAAAATATGCAGATGATACCACTCTAATGGCAGAAAGTGAAGAGGAACTAAAGAGCCTCTTGATGCGGGTGAAGAAGGAGAATGCAAACGTTGGCTTGAAACTCAACATTAAGATAACCAAAATCATGGCATCTGGCCCTCTCAATTCCTGGCAAATAGATGGGGAAGAAATGGAGGTAATGACAGATTTTATTTTCCTGGGTTCCAAGATCACCTCAGATGGGGACTGCAGCAAAGAAATTAAAAGACGCTTGTTCCTGGGGAGGAAAGCTATGGCAAATCTAGACAGCATACTAAAAAGCAGAGACATCATCCTGCCAACAAAAGTGTGTATAGTCAAGGCTATGGTTTCCCAAGTTGCAATGTATGGATGTGAAAGTTGGACCATAAGAAAGGCTGAGCAACAAAAAATTGAGGCCTTTGAACTATGGTGCTGGAGAAGACTCCTGCGAGTCCCTTGGACTGCAAGGCGTTCAAACCGGTCAGTCCTAGAAGAGATCAACTCTGACTGCTCTTTAGAAGGCCAGATCCTAAAGTTGAAACTCAAATACTTTGGCCACCTAATGAGAAAGAAGGACTCACTGGAGAAGGGCCTAATGCTGGGAAAGATTGAGGGCAATAGAAGAATGGGATGACAGAGAATGAGGTGGCTGGATGGAGTCACTGAAGTAGTAGATGTGAACTTAAATGGACTCTAGAAGATGGTAGAGGACAGGAAGGCCTGGAGGAACGTTGTCCATGGGGTCGTGATGGGTCGGACACAACTTCGCAATTAACAACAACAACAAAAAGAGCATTTAAATAAGGCTATTTTAAGACACTTTAAAGACTCTTAATATCAGTCCAATTTCAGCAAGCAAGCTTATCAGTTGGACATGAAAAATCTTAAGAGTATGGCAGGAAATGCATACACATCATTTATAGGCATGCAATATTTTTGGTTGGTCCTAGTTCAGCCTCACTTACTTAATTTCCTTGATCGTTTGCCAGTTATGAGTAATGTTAATGCAATGTCAATCCTAATGTAAATATAGCCCATCAATTCCTTTTTTGTACTAAACCGTAGTGTTAAGGTGCAAGCAAATGGATCAGATCCCTCTAAGGCATTTATTTTAAACCCTCATTCTGTAAATCATCTTGTCTACCCATTGATAGCGCTACTTTAAACCCAAGTGGTAAAATAACAAACTGATAATCATAAGATATCAATAGGAGTAGGTATAGGAAAAGTGAGAAGTATACACACACACACACACATACAGACACACACACACACACACACACACACACACACACACACGACTACTATGAAATTCAAAGATTAAGCAAATGCATTGTTTTCCCTTTTATTATATTGTTATAAAACTTGACACATATTGTTTCAGTGCAATATATAATATAAAATTAATAATACAAGTTAACGTATTTTTAAAAAAGATTAAGGTATTAAAAATGGAGAAATGTAAAAATTCTGTCAATATTAATTACGATTTAGAATATCAATATTTCAAGTGTAAATTATTTAGCTTATCCAAAATTAAGCATTACTTTGGAGAAAGGGAAAAAAAACACTGCATCTCATTAGTTACATGATAATAATTTGAATCTTAAGCAAATTATTTATTAAAATGTCTACAGTATACTAAAATTTATACACCTATACACCCATACAGAGAAAGAGTGTTGACAAAAAGGAAAAATAGCCCAAGCATGTTTAATAAAAGCTAAAATATCTGAAAAGAAAAAGAAAAAATGGAAATAGTAGATATAGGCATTATTTTTGTAGATAAGTCATTAGGTAAAAAAAGCATTAAGTTCTGGTGTGCAGTTGTGTTGAAACTAATCAACCATTAAAACTCTTCAAAAGTACTAATACTTCTGAAGTTGCCCTTGGTATTTGGATTCATACCCATGCTGAATCATAATATGGATTGTTTTGGTTTAAGTCTGTTGCATGAACAAAACCCTTGTTTATGAATCATTGCTTCCACCTAGGAAGATATGGAGAGACCTGGCCCACAGAATTGCCAAGAGTCAGGATAACATCATTATCATCATCGCTTACAGCCTAGTGCTTATTCAGTAAACTATGGTTTAGGAAAAATATTATGTTAAAAGAAACACAACTTCATAGCTTAATGATGTTTCTATGCACAGTAGAAGCTGCAAAACATACTGGCATTATAGTCTATATGCATTTAGATAGTATTGTTTAGCTTGTGTAATGTCAGCAATGGCATTTAATAAAGAATGGGAAACATGATGTGAACAGTTTGTGTATCAGAACAAGGATATTTTGGAGATGGAAGTAGCGAGCTGTCTGGTTGGAGTCTTAGATTTGTTTTCCTTTGAAAATATTTTCCTTTAAGAAAATGAAAAGATATATTTTCTTATAACAATAGTAATAGCATTTAGACCAGTGGTTTTCAACCTTTCTAATGCCGTGACCCCATAATACAGTTCCCCATGTTGTGGTGACCCCCAAGTGGGTGTGGCCACCAATAAGAGGGAGTAGGACAGCTAGGGAAAAGGGAAAAAAATGGTGGACAGCATGGTTTGGCGACCGCCATGAAATGGTCGTTTGACCCCAAATGGGGTCCCGACCCACAGGTTGAGAACCACTGATTTAGACTTATATACCACTTGATAGTGCTTTATAGTACTCTCTGAGTGATTTACAATGTCAACATATTGCCCCCAATAATCTGATTCCTGATTTTATGAACTTCAGAGGGATGGAAGGCTGAATCAACCTGGAGCTTGTCAGGATCGAACTTCATACTGTGGGCAGTTAGTCTATGATGCCGCATTCTAACCACTACGCCACCAAGGTTATAGGTTTCTAGTATATTTTCTAATACTTTATCATGGAGTAGCAGGAGAAAACAATGCAAATTCCTGTGCCATCCCTTTTTTTCTTGAAATGATAGGGGAGATCTAACCTTATAAACACTTTGCTTTCATTATCACCTAACGGAAGCATATATCTGAAATTATTTTAGCAAAGACCTTTATTCAATTTCAGCTATCAACTGCTATAACTTGGAAAGGGGTGTAAAATGAAAAGTGGAGAGCAGTCAGTCAAATGTTCATGCATAGGGCACAGGACAATAACATCTTCATTCACTACCATGTCCCAAATAAATGGATTTGATTACCAATTTCAATTTGGCTCACTCATTTGCTCCGAAGCCTTTTCAAACTGACTGAAATGTATAGGAGTTTGGTTTTAGACTAGAGTGATGTTTCTCAACTTTGGCAACTTTAAAATATTTGGACTTCATCTCCCAGAATTCCCCAACCAATTCCCAGAAACACTGTATTAAGAGTATAAAATCAATAATCAGGACTGTCCTTCCCAACAGAATCGCCTGGAAATGTGTTGGACTCCATCTTCCTCTGTGGCCAATTGGTGCAGCCACTGGCTGCACACGTACATGTCCCAAAGCCAATTAATTTTCAAAAACAACCTTGTACCCAACAGCCATATTTGCTTGCATCCATCTTGCTTTTGCATTTTATTTCTAACCACCCTCAGCACCTCCATTTTCAAAACCCCACTTTTTGGTTCATTTAATGAAAAGTCAACCCATGCTCAATACTGTTTCTCTTCAGCTGCTTTTGCAAAGTTTTGTCTATTTCTACTGAACACTAACCAATCTTTTACTCTGTTTTTCAAACTTGGCCACTTTTAAGATGTGTGGACTTCACCTCCCACAATTCCCTTGGGAGTTGAAGTCCACAATTTTAAAGTTGCCAAGTTTATTGGTTTATTCCATTGCAAAAGCCCTCACCTCAAACACAACTGGCCAGCGGCCTTTAAAGTAATCAAGAAGCATCCTTCCAGCACCATCAATTGTCGACAGACGCTTTTTAGCCCGACTAAAAATAATTTCTCTCCTCCAGGCAAATCCACCGAGGATTCTTGCCGGGCGGGGGAGGAATGGGGACTGATCCCCCTCCTTCCCGGTGTGCCTTTGGCACCTTCCTTCCTTGAAAATCTCCTTAGCGACGCCGATGCTTCTCATCCTAACCTGACACGTCACAGCGCGTTGGGGACAGTTAAAGCACGTCTCGAGATCGGGCGGGATAACCCCTGGCCAACCGCGGGGACAGAGAAAATCTATCCTTCCTGCCATGCGTCCCGCGCAGGAACCCGTCCCCTCCAGGCTTTGCGCGGCGTCGCAAGAGTTAATCCTTCCGGGCAGCCGAAAGGGAGAAGAGGGGGCGAAGGGGGCGCTGTTGTCAAGGCGACGGCTCGGAGTGTTCCGGATCGTACCATTGCGCAGGCGGCGCAGGGAGGTGTGGTGCAGCCCAACCAGGCCCAGCCCAGCCTCCTCCTCCTTTTCCTCCCTCCCCCGCCCGACTCGAACGCGGCGCCGGGGCCCGGCAGGCAGCGAGCGAGTCGGAACCTGCCGACCGGAGGAAGAGGGGCAGAGGCGGGTCCCGAGATCGGCGGCGGCAAGAGTCGCAACTTGGCGGCAGGCCGCCCTCCTCTCGCCCGCCCCGGCTGGGAGACAAAGGAGGGAAAAGGCGGCAGGAGAGCTCCGAGGACAGACTCGCCCGCGGGGCTGAGCATGATGCGGCGTGGGGCCGCCCGAGGCCGGGATCGAGGCGGCTGCGCGGCCTGCCTGGCGTGGCGCGGCTAGAGGAGGCGGAGGCGGAGCGAGGGCGGCGGCGCGGCCGAGGCCCGACGGACTTCTCTTTGGCCGAGCCCGCCCTGGCGGCGGCGATGTAAAGGCCGGGTCGGGAGAGGGCCGGAGGGCGAGCGCGGGGCCGGCGCGCCGAGGCTCGGAGCCCGGGTCGAGCGGCGCAAGGACGCCGGGCCCGAGACGCCGCACGGCGGAGGCGATCCGGGCCCGGGCGATGGAGACGCACGTCTCGTGTCTGTTCCCGGAGCTGCTGGCCATGATCTTCGGCTACCTGGAGGTGCGCGACAAGGGCCGGGTGGCGCAGGTGTGTACGGCCTGGCGGGACGCCGCGTACCATCGCTCGGTCTGGCGAGGCGTGGAGGCCAAGCTGCACCTGCGCCGCGCCAACCCGTCCCTCTTTCCCAGCCTGGCCGCGCGGGGCATCCGCCGGGTGCAGATCTTGTCGCTGCGGCGCAGCCTGAGCTACGTGATTCAGGGAATGGCGGAGATCGAGAGCCTCAACCTGAGCGGCTGCTACAACCTCACCGACAACGGGCTGGGCCACGCCTTCGTGGCGGAGATCGGCTCCTTGCGCGCGCTGAACCTCAGCCTCTGCAAGCAGATCACCGACAGCAGTTTGGGCCGCATCGCCCAGTACCTCAAAGGCCTGGAGGTATTGGAGCTGGGAGGCTGCAGCAACATCACCAACACGGGCCTCTTGCTCATCGCCTGGGGCCTCCAACGCCTCAAGAGCCTCAACCTGCGATCCTGCCGCCACCTGTCCGATGTGGGCATCGGGCACTTAGCGGGCATGACCCGGAGTGCAGCAGAGGGCTGCCTGGGGCTGGAACAGCTCACACTGCAGGACTGCCAGAAGCTCAGCGACCTCTCCCTCAAGCATCTGGCCCGGGGTCTCACTCGCCTGCGCCAACTCAATCTCAGCTTTTGTGGGGGGATCTCGGATGCAGGGCTGCTGCACCTGTCACACATGAGCAGTTTGCGCATGTTGAACCTACGCTCCTGTGACAATATTAGTGACACAGGTATCATGCACCTGGCCATGGGCAGCTTGCGCCTTTCAGGCTTGGATGTCTCCTTTTGTGACAAAGTCGGAGACCAAAGCTTGGCCTACATTGCACAGGGCCTTGATGGGTTGCGCTCTCTCTCCCTTTGCTCTTGCCACATCAGCGATGAGGGCATCAACCGCATGGTGCGCCAGATGCATGGACTGCGCACTCTCAACATTGGCCAGTGCGTCCGCATCACTGACAAAGGCCTGGAGCTTATCGCTGAGCACCTTAGTCAGCTCACAGGCATTGACCTTTATGGCTGTACCCGCATCACTAAAAGAGGCCTGGAGCGCATCACTCAATTGCCCTGCCTCAAGGTGCTCAATCTGGGACTCTGGCAAATGACTGAGAGTGAAAAAGTAAGGTGAGAGGAGGGGACACCCAGAGAGCCCCATCCCGCCGGAAGGCTTCACCAACTGACTGCTGCAGTAGAGAAAAGTGGAGGGGGGCAATAGTCCTCCAAGGGGGGTTGGGGGAGGGAAGGGAAGGGAAAGCATCTTGGCTACTTGCCTGCCTCTGTGCCCACACAATGGAGGTGAGAGAAAGGGGGACCATACAGGTAGTTCTCAAGTTATGACCATAATGGAGCCTGCCTATCATGGTCATAACTCATGATAGTTATAAAGATCCCTTGATTTGACAACTTTGCAGCAGTTGTTACGCGAATCTGATGTCATTAAGCAAGTCAGTGGTCTTCTATGGGTTCAGTTTTGCCAAAAACTGGAAGCAAATGCTGGTTTTCAGCAAAACTGGTAAAATATGGTCACGTGACTGCAGGCGCTTGCAAATTGCCATAATTGTGGCCAGTTGCTGAGCTGGCTACTATCGCACGACTCAGAGTGCCATCACATGACTGCAGGAGGGTGGTAGCCAGAATTTTTAACCTGGGTCTTAAGTACACCTTAGTTAGTCTGTTGGAACTTTGAACAGTCTCTAAGCAACTGGTCATAAGTTGAGGACTACCTGTACTTTGTTTCATAATTCCTTCCTCTGAATTAGAGGGAGACAAACAACTGCACTCTACAGCAGCCTTCCATGTGAGTGGATACAGTATCATTTTTTATTGGAAATGCAGCTTCTCAAATCGTTTATGCACTGGGGATGGACGCAGCCCCTTTACCCCCTCTGATTTCACTTATTTCTGCACTAGGGATAAAAGAACCCTACCCTATTCCCTTTCTAATTTCATGAGAACCTGCCTTTTATTGGGCAAATAGTCTCATCCTTTTCTAGTCCCTTTCGCCTATGCTTGTCCATCAACCCTCACCATGCTTTTTGTAGTCTGCCATCTTTTTCTTAATAATGTAGGCAACCTGTAGATATCAAATTGATTGGGGCATTGCCTTACAGCAAGTCAGGCCATTGGCCTTTATATCTCAACTGAGTGGCAGAAAATCTCCTGTCCGAAAAGGACAAGTCTTTCTTGGCCCTATTGTTCTAGCTCTCCTAAACCCTAGAACCCTTGGTTCCCCCCCACCTTCTGCTTTTTCCCAGTTTGAGATTAGAAACATCAAGCCTTTTACTGAGAAGAGAGGCTTTTTTGAAATGCCATTAATTGGAGTGTCAGCTATGTGTTCATTTTACTCATTGTTGCTTAGAGGGCCATCACATTTTCCCCAGAAACTCATTTTATGCTGTATCCAACCCACATCATCACCATATTTCTCTTTGCTGCTGAAATCATTACAAAGTTGAATCATCTTTTTTACTTTTTATGTTTCTGTGGCTTTCCCCTCCTACTTATTTCATCTTTTGGGGAAACAGATTTAAAAAAAAAAAACATAGCCACAATTTCATTTTTTGGAGGATTGGAGGCAGAGTGATGGAATTAATCATCACCAGAAAGGCAACAACAAATGCCTTCTACAACCCTACAACACTCCCACCCACCCTTTATACCTTAGCTGTTTTATTTGTTCTCTTATCCTCTTCATACATGGAATAAGTTTGAAAGACAGCTGAAGTGGCTACCCTTGTGAATTTTAACTCAAGTATACTATCACTATATAAACATTTGGCTACCTCGAGTTTGGGTGGTTGTTTTTTTCTCCTTCCCTCAGCCTTGGAATGTTTATGAGAAAGTTGAAACTGAAATTATGTTGTGCCTAGACTGGTAAGATTTCCCCTGGGCTTTAAGATTTGGAGAGGGAGAATAGGAAGAGGAGAAGGAAAAGTGACTAGGAATTTTTGCCCCTGCTTGTCACCTATAAACTTGATGCCTCTTCCTTTTTTGACTAAAGTTTTGGAAACCCACCAGTGCTTTTGTTTTCTCACTCTTCTAGCACAAAGACATGGAAACACGGGGATGTCCAAATTAGCGATTGGGCAATGATTAAAGAAATGTGAAAGTAGGAACTCTTTGTTTCTTTAAATATATGCAAACTCCTGCCTTCCCTTCTCAAATTACTTAGATCCGAAGTATGGAGCTTCCAGTAAGGAAGTGCCCAGAGAGGAGCAAGCAGAACAGACTGACTTGCAGTTGCAACACGAATGGGAAAAAGTCACCTTCAAGTCAACTTCTGTTCTGCCTTTAAAATAAAAGCCACTTCTTGATGCTTGTCTTTGAAGGAGGATCAAGACAACTTTGAAGAAAGCAAAATCGATGGGGGAGGAAGGGCCAGTGTAGATTTTTCCAATTCTCCACAGTTCAAGGAAATGTGAAATTTGGACAAGCCCAGACACTACAGCCCCCCCCCCCATCATGGAATAAATGTACTGTTTATGAATTTGTATAAAATTAAAGATCCTCTTAAAACATTTTATATTCTTACAGTAAAAGGCTAAACTGATATTTATATAATAAAAAAGGAAATATGAAGTATGTTTTTTAAAAAAAATGTTGCATGTGTGTCTTTGTCCTTTAAAAGACAGGGAATATCCTAAGTTGTGAGGAGAGTTGTTGTCCCCTCCTTCCTTGGTTAATGAGCAATTTGGTTTAGTGAATCAAAGCCACTGGAACGCTTTTGTCCTTTGAGCATAAAAGGTTAAGTAACTTCCAAATTAGAAGTTCGTTGTACAGCAAATGGTTCCGTTTGAAAGGATCTTTATACCTTCTACACTATCGTACCTGTACATAACAGTTTGTGCCTGCGCCTGCCGACTAATAGTTTTTAGTGCACTGTTGGGCAAATGCTTCCTGGCATAACAATGAAATGCACTGTCTCAGTTGCTAAGAACAACATGTAGTTTTTCCTTTTAGTTTGTTGCACAATAAGTTGAGTGAATTTGGAAAAACTGGGGAATGGTTGAAATATTTGTAATTCAGGCTTTCAAATAAAAATAAATGCCAAATTTGGATGTTAAAATAGCTTAAATTGGATTGGGGAGGTCCTTTTGTACTCATCTCTGACTTTACCTCTGATAGCAGTCTTTTTCTAAACTTCTCCACTGCAGGTTTTTAAACAACTGGGAGGAAAGTTAAGCAGTATCTCTAACGTATAATACAAAATACTAACTCGCTCCCCCCCCCCCCGCCGCGCAGCGTTTTTCTCTTTCCTTTATTAATAAACTAGTGGTGGCTGGGTGGGTGTGTGTGTGTAGAGAATTTGAAATGGTGGAAAGAGGCAAATCCATTGTTCAGTAAAGTTAAAAAAAGGAGCTGTCCTTGCTTGCTTGCTTGTTCAGTCATGCAGACTGAATCGGGCTGTGTGAGGGTACCTATGGAAGAGAGGAGGGGTGCTATTTTCCCTTTTTTTTTTTTTTACATTCCTCTCCAGGCCTGGCTGTCTTTAAGCTGCTTTTCCTCTGGGGGAGGGGGAGGGCCTGGAGTTCCTGTACATTTGCATTTCAAGCACTTCCAGGGCTGTCTCCGCTGTTCTGTGATGCATTGATGCAGTTCTCCAAAGCTGACCTCTTCTCTAGCTCCAGGTAAGCCTGTGTCACAAGTGTGTGGGGGGGAAACCAAGTTTTATACTCAATGGCAGTGTCCCCTTAATACCCTATCTCTCAATACTGGAGAAAAGAAAAAAGACATTTTTTTTCATTTTTAAAAGAAAACAAAGGAGGTGGGGAGAGGAGACATTTGTCCAGGAATTGTGCCGTTACCTTAAGAGGCTTTTCCAATCTTCTCCAATCTAGTTATCTCCCAAATGCAGGAGTTGTGCTTCAACTTAAAAAAGATGGTGTGCTGATGGTGGATAGGGATTATGGGAGTTGAAGTCCAACATAAGAGGGTGCCAGGCTGAGGAAGGCTGTCCTAGACTGGTGCTTATATTTAAAACCTTCCATGCTTTCTGTTGGGAGTTGGTCACAAAAGCTGCATTGTTCTCATTGGCAAAAGCCAGCACAATTGGATCTAATTGAGCCTGACACTACATCCATCTTCTTTTACTTGGAGGGAAGTGCAAGGGCTGCTTCTATCCCGCCCCCGCCCCTTTGGCCTCTGGGTGGGAGTTTTTAAATTTATAATACATCTGTGGCTGAAGAAAATATGAGGCCTATTAAAATAAGAAGGCTTGACCTCAGCCAAAGTCTGTCAATAGTAGACAATGCAGGACTAAGTTTTTTTCAAAACAGTCAACAGAAACAGTTCGGGCTTTTGTATAAAGTATGTTTAGCTTGGCACATCAGTTATATTTTAAAATAAATTGTACTGAATTTTAAAGTGATTTGGACTCGGCAAGCTAGGAAGTTGTGGGAAATTAATTATACATACGGCACTTTTCATGAAACAGTTCTATTCCCCATTCATTCTGTGAAACGGTCACTGTTGGCACCACCAGTTCTAATGTGAACAATGTTTTTTTTTTTATCCCCAGCAAATTTTTGTAACTTCAAATGTTGCAACTTAGTGATAATGTGGTTGGTTGGTTGCTCAGTAGGTTGTGTGTACCGGCCATCATAAACTATCATGAATTAGCATATGCAAACTCAAGTCCACTGTCATTTGGATTTACTTATCGGACCAATGTTAAATTATTAATCACATTTATAGACCACTGCAGTCCCAAACTACTTTTCACAGTTCACCAAGATAAAAATACACCAAGTATCCACAATATAATTAAAACGCAGAGTAAAATATATATAAAACAAAACTAATCCATAAACCCAACCAAGATGGTATTATGTCCAAATGACCTCCCAAAGAGGGTTCTACATCGGGCTGTCTTTAAAGACCACCTAGAACAGGGGTCCCCAATCCTCAGTCCGTGGACCGGCACTGGTCCACAGCATGCCAGAAACTGGGCCGCACAAACAAGCAAAGCCCCAACCGTGGGATGCAGGCAGCATGCAAAACTATGCCCCTTCCGGTCTGCAGAAAAACCTCCCTCCAGGAACGAGTCCCTCGTGCCCCAAAGGTTGGGGGTCACTGACCTAAAAGATGCCCAGTTTTGTTCACCAATTGGAATACATTGATCAGCGCTATCATCTCGCACAGGTTGCCAGTAGGGTTCCAGGTGCAATTCAAAGTTTTGATGCTGATCCATAAAACCCTATGTGACACCAGGTTATCTGCAGAACCACATAATCCCAGCAATGTTTTCAAAGAAGCAATGGGAACTGTATTTCAGTATTAGGAATTTGAGCTCCTTTGCAAAAAAGGTGGGAAGTAAATGCCATAAATAACATGGACACGAGGCTATGATAACCATTTTTAAAAACTAAAGTGAAAAAGATCCAATTTTCACATGCAGGATCTATCAGATTTCTGATTTCATAAAAAGCTGGCTGGACACAATGCTGACTCAGAAAAAGATTTATCCACTCATGAGCATAATTACAATATGCAGTGTTTTTAAAAAGTGTAGAATAAATGTAAGATAAAGCAACTGTGCTAGATAGATGGTTTTTGGGCCAAGGTGGAAGAAGTAAAACTTATAACAATAAACCAGCTTCCCCAACTTGCGTTTTTCATGTTTGAACTCTGCTGAAAGAATTATAGGAATTGGATTCAACTTTAACCAGAGAGCATTTGATTGGGAAAAGTTCCTCTAATATATTGTTTTTAAGAAACTAAAATTAAGACTATTAGAACTAGAATTACTTTCACTGAACTTTATTCTAACAAGAAAAGAAAATCAAATTAAACTGTTTATAAAATATTAGAAGTAGAGGTTTATCCTTCTTTCAAAACATGAATTTAACAGGTCATCAAAATTTTTAAATTATTATCCTATGTATATTTACTTCATAATTAGTTTTAATTCCAAACTTTGAATAAACATGCATAATATAATTAGGACAATTATGAAAGTAATCCCAGAGAAGTCTATTCAGAAGTAAGCTTTGTTGGCTAGATCTTATTTTTAGCTAAATGCTTACAGAATTGCTGCCTGAAATTTTAATTCTGCAATCCTATAGACACGTTCTTAGCATTAAAAAAATGAAAATCAAGATCTGTTGTCCCTAAAAAATGAATTAAAGTACATAGTTATTCTTTATGTACTATTTTCTAGCCAAAAAAGAAAAAAATACACATATATTATATATACATATAAATGCATGGAAAGTTGACACATGATATGTGGTCATCTGAACTCACCCAGCAAACAAATGGATAATAAGTGGCCTCAGCAATTACAATGAAGTTTGCTTCTCAGGATCATATTCCTATGATAAAATCATATACATATTCCTCAGAAATGGAAGCTCAAGGAAAAAAAGATTAGGCATAGGACAGCATGGAGAAGGTTTTTTCTAATAAACAGTAAATTTCACCTTGAAATTCATGTATTTATGCTGTAGAAACCAACCTTTAGAATAAATCATATTAATTCTTCTTGTATGGATCATCAAACAAATCAACCCAGAGTTCTTACTTGAGGCACACAGAACAAAGCTCCATTGATCCTACTTTTGACACATCATGCAAAGACTTTTGGGGAAGGGTCTAATGCTGGGAAAGGTGGAGGGAAAAGGAAGAAGAGGACAACCAGAAGCAAGATGGATGGTGATGTTACAGTGGTGGTGAGTTCACCACCGTTGGGAGAATTAGGGACAGATCATATTGGAGAATCTATGTGGTCACCAAGAATCAATGACTGATGGCACATAATCAAATGCAATGTTAGATTTTTTTTTTAAAAAATGTTTAAATATACAAAATTAAACATTGTTTGACATACTTGTTGACCACATGAAACCTAATCATGGGTTGTTGTGCGGGCTAATAAATGGCATGGAAATTTCTATAAAGACAAAGCTGTCAGAGAACGGTAAGAAGTAATACAAATTGCTAGAAGTCTTGAAAAATATTTTGCAATGAAATAATTTACTACTTTACAGAGTCAATAATTAATTAACATATGCAAAGTAAGATTATGATTGTAATTTTAATTCATGATTTCATTCATTCTTGTGATGAACCCAGTGGAGAAATGGCTTTGAAGAATTCTGTCAGATTTTGAAGTGTATTGCCTTTAGGCAAAACCACTATGCAAAGCTTATATACTAATATACAAAACATACTAATTTTGGGGGGATTACTTCTGAATTTAGATATTTGCACATAGCAAATACTTATGTAAGAATACTTTGAAACTTTATTTATATGGTAGTTCCAATGCATCTGATATCAAAAGGGTGATTATGATCTTAGTATCTGACTTGTTAAAATTTGTTTTTTGCTTTGGCCCTTCCAGCCAGAATAATATCAAGCTCTTTCAGTATCTTTCCCTAAATAAGGGGTGTGAAACTATGGTCCTTTTATGATTTGTGGACTTCAACTCCAAGAATTCCTGCTGGCTCAGGAATTCTGGGAGTTGAAGTCCACAAGTCATAAAGGGGCCATAGTTCCACACCTCTGTCCTAAATGAGCAAGGAAATAAATTTCTGCTTCTGTGAAAACAGACAGGTTCCTTGGGTGTTTGGCATTACAAGCTCTGATATATATATATATAAACTCCCTTCTTGATATATATATATATATAAAAAACTCCCTTCTTGATATGTGTGTCTTCTCAGTCTCAGCGGTTTGAAACACTGCACTCTTCTGGACAGAGAGCTCTGATGTTGTTCCTGGGGCCTGTTGGAGCCATTCTCCCAGCTTAAGAGTCACAGCTTCA